TAATACTTCATATGTAAAAATTTTTGTCATGTTATATTTTAAAACCGCAAGCATAAATATTGAAAAGACAGCAGCTTTCCACCATTCCTATTAGTTCTGCTAATGGCTATTTTACAAGTGCTTGATTGCAAAATAAAGGCAGATTATATATCATAGTTTTTCCAGCAGTGCTAATTTACAGTAGTATAAAGTTTTTCTTACTATTACAGGTTACTTTACCTAAATAATAAGCTACATTGTCGTTTGCCCAAAGTGTCACAATTAGCACAGATTAGAAGTTACATATCCTTTACCTTCCCTCACAAAAAGACTCCCTCACTTCACCGCTGAGATGCACCTCTCTTCAGCAGAGTAGAGGACTTATTTCCCAACATACATATAAAAATAGGTATGTTTTTAAACACATGAAAAAAGAGAACTACAAATCTAATGTAGGAGTATTAAGTTTGACAAGAGCTTTTTGCTATCCATACTTTTTAAGAACTCCCAACAATGACAGAGTACCAAAGCAGCTACAGTTTTCACTCCATGTTTTTGAAGCTCATTGTGACTTGAATGCATTCTTTTCACTCATTTAAATCTTTGACATGAAGACATTCAAACATTTGTACTTAACTTGGGTAGGATTTTTGGTGTTTGGGGGGTTTTTTGGTGTTTACAAAGAGAAAACTGCAGGAATGATGGTGAAATGTACACACACACTGCTTGGTAATTCAGAGGTGAAATAACAAAGAAATACATAACTGACATTCTTCAGCTGCAAATAAATATGACTATATTTACAGACAGAAAAATACATTAAAACTCAGTTTCCAAAAGCACAGTTTGCAAGGGAGTTGTATCAAAAATCACCTAATCTGGAACATCAAATGGGATGCAGGAATACCATTAGCCTACAGTTTAGTCACTGCTCCACATACCAAAGAGAGTTTTAACTTGGTTCAGCTGCATCACTGCTGGGACTCAAGCTACAGCAGTGTAGAACCCATCAAGAGTTGCCACAGTCTGGCTGGGAAGCACTACAGAGTCACAGAATGGTTTGGGTTGGAAGGGACCTGTAAAGGCCATCTAGTCCAACCCCCCACTGCAATCAGCTGGGACATCTTCAACTAGTCTGAGTGCTCAGAGCCCTGTCCAGCCTGGCCACGAATGTTTCCAGGGATGGGTCATCCACCACCTCTCAGCAGAGGGGTAAATCCTTAGGCACAGAGCCCCCAGGCAAGTTCTGTATTGTTGGTATGAACAGTAAGCAAATGAGTTTAAAACTAGCTCAAGCAGAGAGCAAATGCTGTGCAGGCATATCCCTTATTTCTACAATGTTCTTTTATAGTTGTACTCTCTATTTCTTTATTTGAAGTCTTCCAGATTTAGTGATATGAACCCATAACTAGTTTTCACAACACACTTTAGATTAATTGGCAGACAAATTGCACATAATCAGAGCAAGAGTAATTTGCTGGTCAGCAATGCACACTACAGATGAAACATGACTTCACTTATCAACTCCTTACTTAAACAGCATCCAGGGAGGGTGTGACAACTCCAGGGATCGCCAAGCGCAATCCAGGAAATCTTTAGAGATCTTCAGAGCTCAAAAAGCACTCACTGGTTACTCCCTTACTCCTCTGCAACATCAAAAAAGGTCAGCGAATTCCCATCCCCATGAGCTCAGAATGTCCATGTTAGAATCTGAAATCCCACTGCCATTAATTTATACAGTCAACTCCTCAAATTATTGTATTCCAGTGAAACTGCACAGAAGGCTTACACCAGGGACTAGTTATCTTTTGTATATAAAATCCTGACCATGCTTCCCCTGAAAATTCTGTTTGCAGCCATTTCACTGAGAAAGGAAAAACCAGGCCCCAAGAAGCCTCGATCCAAGTCTCTGAAGTTACGAAGGACTAGGTAAGGATACTTCACAGACATGCAGAAAAACAAACATTCCTTCTATAGTTTTGCCATTAGCGCTGAATTAGATCCCTTTTGCAGTGACATTTCAAGGGTTAAGCAAAGAACTTGAATCTTATTTCATTCCAAGATTTTTATAAATAAACTTTTGGGCAATTAAATGCGATATAAATTCTTAAAATAGAAATATCAAGTCTAAGAGCATTCATGTGGATGGATGTCCAAAAACATATACAAAGCCTTTCACATAAGGCTGAATTCAGGATAGCACTTTTAAGTAGAACTAAAATAAATTAAATAGGTGCTAACATAGAGATGTTAAAGAAAAGACTCTGAATAAAGACTCATTTACTCAACTTCCAGTCCCTGATACAGCCATAAGATTTGGAACAAGCTTTACAAACACAAAATACCCAAACTAAAAAAGTGCCCTCATATAAGCAATCTGGAAATTGCATGAGCTTGAATACATGTGGGCATGGCTGACATTCAGTGTATTCACCTAAGAACAAAACTGACAATTATTGTATGTCTGCCAATTTATTAATATAGTTATTTCTATACAAATAGAGATTTTTTTCTTCTTCATAGTAACAATTCAGTGTTTTAAAACAGGCAGATCAATATATTACAAATACCACTACTGTTAGAACACGTACTAAATCACAGGAGGTAGAGTTAGATCCCCATTAACAATAAACTTCAGAAAACACAGACTATTTTTAAAAATTAGTAGAATATGTCATTCATGAAAACTTACTTTTCTGAACAACTCATTTGTAGCTGCTTTATGAGACATCTTTTTTTGAAGCATGATAAAGAATATTTGATAGAAACATGTTCTATTTCAGTTTTCAACATAACTCTGCAATAAGCACATAAGAAAACTCCCATGTGGTAAAGACTTCAGACAAACTGCAAAAAAGCAATATTTTAAGTTATTCAAATTACCAAAGTTATCATGAATGTGACCACATCTTTTACCTTACGATTACATTTGAAACTTCATTCAAGTAACTACGGTTTAAAAATGTATCTACACCAATAAAATTAATGTGAAGCTTTTCTACACTGTCAACAATTGGCATTTTTGAATGGCATACAAATGAATAAGTATTATTCCTTTTGCAACAACTTACTGCAAAATACAGGCACCTGAAAAACTGATACATAATGCAACCAGGGTATTCAGGATATTAAAAGTGTTTGCCATTATCTAGTCATGCTATGTATTTCCCTTCTTTTAAAGAAATACTCTACAGTTTGAAGCCGTGCCTGAGGTGCGTGCAAATTATCATGTTTCAGTATTTAACTCAATTTTCATAGTATATTTCTTTAACAGTTACAAAAACACTAGTGTGCCAAAATTTTGAATCATTACAACTGTAAAGATCTTAAGCAGACATTGTATCTTTGATAATGTATTCTTGCTATTGCACACATGCTCTTAAGACAGTGAAACTGGTCCATATTCAATTTCAACTATTTACACATGCTAAAATCATTTATCTGCTTATAATGTTGGAAAAGAAAAAAATACAGCCTTTCTTCACCAACACACATTGCTCCAAAATTTACGCCACCAAATTTCACAGAATCACAGAATACCAGGCTGGAAGGGACCTCAAGGATTATCTGTCAACACTAGGCTGTGTGGTGCAGTCAAAACCCTGGAGGGTGCGGATGCCATCCAGAAGGACCTGGTCTGGCTTGAGAGGTGGGTCTGTACAAACCTCATGAAGTTCAACAAAGTGAAGTGCAAGGTCCTACACCTAGACCATGGCAATCCCAGACACACCTACAGGCTGGGCAGAGAAGTGATTGAGAGCAGCCCTTCTGAGAAGGATTTGGGGGTGCTGGTGGGTGAAAGGCTGCATATGACCCAGCCATGTGCACTCACAGCCCAGAAAGCCAAATGTGTCCTGGGCTGCACCCAAAGCAGGGTGGGCAAGGTCAAGGGAGGGGATTCTGCCCCTCAGCTCTGGTCTGGTGAGACCCCACCTGGAGCACTGCATCCAGCTCTGGGGTCCCAGCACAGGAAGGACATGGACCTGTTGGAGGGAGTCCAGAGGAGGGCCATGAAAGAAAAGGGGTCTGGAGCACCTCCCCTATGAGGACAGGCTGAGAGAGCTGGGACTGTTCAGCCTGTAGAACAGAAGGTTGCAAGAAGACCTCATAGCAACTTTCCAGTATCTGAAGGAGCCTACAACGAAGTTGGAGAGGGACCTTCACCAGAAACTGTAGTGGTAGGACAAGGGGGAAGTGCTTCAAAGTTAAAGAGAGTAGGTTTAGATTAGACAATAGGAAGAAATTCTTGCCTGTGAGGGTGGTGAGGCACTGGCACAGGTTGCCCAGACAAGGTATGGATGCCCCATCCTGGAAGTGTTCAAGGACAGGTTGGATGGGGCTCTGAGCAACCTGGTCTAGTGGAAGGTGTCCCTGCCCAGGGCAGGGGAGTTGGGACTGCATGATCTTTAAGGTCCCTTCCAACCCAAACCATTCTGTGACTCTGTGATTCTACTGTCCAACCTTTCTCAGCAAAAGCACAGTCTAGACAAGACAACCCAGCACCTTGCCCAGCCAAATCTTAAAAGTGTCCAATCTTAGGGAATCCACCACTTCTCTGGGGAGATTACTCCAATGGATGATTGTTTTCATTGTGCAAAAATTTCCAATTGTGTCCAGCTGGAATCTCCTCAGGATTATCTTGTACCCATGACCCCTCATCTTTTCTATTTGACTCCTTGTAAAAAGGGAGTCTCTCTTCTTTGTAGCCACTCTTTAAATACTGGAACGTGTATTTTTATGGTTTTATGAGGAACAGCCTGCCACTCAATCTTTTTCCTTATATGAGTCTGATTCAAGACCACTGAAGGCAAAAGCAGCCTTAATTTTATTCAGTAGATTTTGAACTAAAGTTCAAATAGAAAAATTATAGGAAGTGTTTATTATGGTAATTGATATAACTGCACTTTGGATGCATTAAGATGCTCTCACAGCATCAGTTAAAGAACAAAAAAAAACCCCAACAAAAATCCTTCCAAAAAATCTCTTTCTAGAACTAAGAATGTTACAGTTCAAATTGTATATACAGTTCCAGGTATATACAATTTATTAAATTAATAGTCTTCTCCTTTTCATCATGACACAAAAGCCCACACTGATGCACAACAGTATCTACAATAGAAGCAGCTTGTTCTTATCATAAGTGGTGAACTTATCATACACGTGCATTTCCAAAATTGTTCCTTCATATTTTTTTTTTAAACAGAAACAGTCTTTGATGGTTCAGTGATATATCACAAATACAGTATTTTCCAAGCAATGAGGAGGAGCTAGGCTTCCACTGAATTTTCTTTAGCATTGAGGAGCTTAGACATCATCAAATATTTTGCTTCGAGACATTGACAGGTATCTTCCACCAGGCTGGTACCTGCAGAATCAATTTTAAATATGAAAAAATATCACAGGAAATTAAAAAATAAAGACCCATGAAATAAAATAACTCTCACTACAATCTTAGTCCTTAACCGTCAGTGAATTAAGGACCTGAAGTTCTTCTGAATTATTGTTTCCATGAGAATTTGATAGACAGTCATTAAATTAAACATCATGTGACCAAGAAAAACAGTGATATGAATACTTAAAGAGAGAGTCTTAAAGAACTTTGTTTCCTGATCCAAAGGAAAAAAGTTAGATGTTTTGGTTGAACAGGACTTTCTTCTTAAAAAAACCCAACTAAACTAACAACTAAACAAACAACAAAAACCCAAAACATAAAAAACCCCAACCAAACAATGGCATCCAAAAAGTAGTTTGTGTGCTTATAAACAGAAGTCTACTAAAACCATTTGTGGCTTTTTTTGATTGGGTATGGTAGTTTTAGCTGAAAAATAATAAATTATAAGTTTTTATATGGGAATTTTAAATTATTTATATTAAATGGTTCTACACCAGAATGACCTAGATTAAAAAAAGCACCCATGCAATATTTTATTTGTTTCTTAAGTATGAGCAGAGCTAAGCAGTTATATAAGATACTCTATCAGTGAGGAAATTTGCTGTTGTGGTCACACCCACAGAATCTAAAAATTCTCTATTACAGAGAGCTACATAGTGCAGTCTTGTACTTTCTGTTCAGGAAGTTCACAGTTTAATTTAACAGTAGTTCCAAGATCTGATCCCCAGTTTTCTTTCTTGCAGCCTTTTATAATGGATTTTATACAGGAGAATCAAGTGCTTTCTGAAGCCTTGCAGGAAATTACAGAAAACCTTATGTTGTACCTATGTCTGTTGAGGAATACACCTAGTGCAGGTAGCTCTGTGTGCAGCTGCACGTTGTGTCCTGGACGGCAGGAAATGGGAGGAGCCCCAGGCAAGAGGCCATGACTCAACCCTTTGCACGGGGACCTGTGGCACCAGCCAGGTGACCGGACACTTGGAGACTCTGCAGGAGCCGAGGACTGAGCTGGTAGACCGCAGAGTATCGGGGGCACAGCCTGTGAGGGTATAAAAGCTCAGGGATTCCTTAGTTTGGGGCCCCTCCCCGGAGGTACAAACTCGAGCTATTCTGTCGCTGCACCATGATTAAATTACTTAAAGGAACCAGACATCTGGAACTCTGGTACAGGAAACTTGTGGCTGAGCTGGAAAGGGAAACTTAAAAACTTCTCTGACTGTGTGGGAGCGGGGTGTGCAGGGAGTGAAACAGGGCACCCGTAGAGTCACTGGAGCCACAGGCTGTGAAGGGGCTTCAGTCCCAGCAGTGAAAGTCTGGGGTGGTGAGAGTGTGATTGCCAGAGTGCCTCCTGAATAGTCATGAGAAGTTTCTTTAACAAACTGGTCCTTCGTCAGTTTTATATGAAGTATTTTTCAGATTACACCACTATACAAAGTTATATTCAAATCTTACTCTGATATTTCTAAGAACCTGAAAAACCTTTAGATTTTAATAGGTTCTAAAACAATTCCTGTACCATGGGGCAGAAGGAAGAAAGGAGAAGAGTTAGGAGAAATGATAAATTTAGTTTACCAAACTATTATTATGAAAACATTTGACGCAGTTGTCATAGGTCAGAAGACACAAGACATTAGTATCTTTTAATTGTAAATAACACGGAAGATTCCTCACCTTCCCGAGTCTGATTCAAGAGGGTCATCGTTAACAGAGTCTGCATTAAAATCCAAAGGTTCTGCATCCTGGAGGAGTTCTATTCTATCTCTTTCAGTCCTGCCATTTGATCGGGTATACTTTGATAGTGCTGAATAAATAAAAGGAAAGAAAGACACTTGTTTGCTCTGTGAACAGCTTGAAGACATCAAATTTAAAAGACTATATTAATAAATATCTCATCCAAAGTGAAAGTGCCATAATTTAGAGCAGATTCAATATTAAACCAAAGTTGCTCAAATTTATAGTATTTCAGTTTTGTACCTCCATAGAACACATGCAACTACAACTTTTCTCTTGCCCCTCAAATAGGATGAGATCTGCCTTGCAAAGACACAATGAAAATGAGAAACTACATGCAAACTTTACTTTTTAAATCAAACAATCATCCATTCATCTTCACAGCTTCAGGCTTTAAGTAAGCTAGCTGGAGGAATTTTTTTATTAACTTTTCTTTGTTTTTAAAGAGACAATCTCATGAATTAATGAAATATATTTGTTTTGCAGTTCAGTCTGCAACCTTCACTAGGAAAGTACCTATGGCTGGTTTTGGTGTTGGAATGCTACATATTCATATTAAAATACAATTTTGGTTAGTCTACCACTAAAAATCTGCGTTTCCAACTTTGTAAAGAGGAGGGGGAATCTACCAGCATTGCCTCAAAAGCATATTCAAAGCTTGCCTCCTCCTCCCCTTTTTCTTCCTTTTTCTTCAGTTTCATTTTACTTAATGTTAGCTTACAGGAGTACAAAAAAAAGATCAAAAATGCACAAAACCCCCACTAATACTCTCACAAATAAACTTTTGTGATGCTTTAAACTTCCAAAAATAAGTATTTTGCTAACAGACATTATTAAACAAAAATGTACCCACTTGCGTGGTATGTTATTGGTTTCACATAAGCTGGTCAACTGATTGCTCCGTTATTCCAGTGTGAGATAGCAATTTCCAAGTAGAAGAGATAAATTTTGTGATTTACAACACCCAACTTCACAACATAATTATTTTCTTTCCTGACAACTGCTACTCTAACTGCAATCATTATATATCCCATAAGACCAAGTTATTGGTCTGTCCTAGTCAGAACAGCTGGGACCGATTCATCTCTGGATGGGTGTAGCCCAAAACTGTGTATTCTATGGCCCTCCATGCCATTTCCCAGAAACTGTTGTCGGGGGGGGGCCTGCAAGGTGTGAGGGGGTGTTCCTGTCCTCATACCCTTTTATGGAATTCGCCGCTCTGAAGGAAGGACTGAACATCCTTTTATGGAATTCCCTGCTCTGAGGGAACGACTGACCATTCCTGCCTGAACTGGAGAATATATAAACCTGGAGTTTCAGAACCTTTCTACCACTCGTGGGATCCAGAGGAAGACTGCAGCTCACCGCTCTCAACCAGACTGAGACCACCACCCTCAACTGGACTGCAATCACCACTTTTGACCAGACTGCAACAGCTCTCCCACCAGCAGGTTTTTCCCCTCTCCCTTCACTTTGGACTCAGGGGGGGACCAAGGAACACCACTTTGTTCATGCCCCAGGGTGCTGGGTTATACATTTGGGGTTTGTGGGTTAAGACCAATTGTTTGTTTGTATAATTGTACTTATTGTATTATTTTAATAAATTGTTATTCTGACTTATAATCTCTCTTTTGAGTTAAGTTCATTTCCCCTGCTGGTTAACTTTTAAACCAGCACATGGTCTTAGAGTGGAGTCAGAATCTCCAATCTCAACTAGTTGAAGTGTTGGAGATGGAAAGAAACACAGCACTCTTTTCAGTGTCTTAATGGCAAGATGGAACTGTGCCACAGAAGTGGATGTATCAGCACATCACCTAACACAAAAAGGAATATATTTGAAACTAGTCACACAGCCAGTGTTGTGCAGACAAGATAGTAAAAGAAAACAAAACAAAACCAACCTCCCCCCAAACCCACAAAGCTTACGTCTATTGGCATTGGTCTCTGTGAAGCTGGATTCTTTTTGGTCTGTGTGGACAGCTCTGTTTCTAGTGGAATCGTCTCTATTTCCATATCGCTCCTTCCATTCCTGGAAAAAGACAACAAAAGAAAACATAAGTTGTGAGGATAAAGCAACACAACAAAGCATATGTGGGATCAAGGAATACCCAAGGTTCATAATTTAGAGCTAAATTAATCACAACAGATTATCAAAGCAATATTTTCAAAATGTTCTTGTACAGTATCTTGATACAGGAAGAATTTTTGCTTCATTTTAAACTCAAGATGTGTCTCTTCACTAAGCCAGTAACCATAACTGTTCTTCAGAAAAAAGATTTGCAGAAAACAAACTGCATCTCAAATCTGCACTCAAAGTCCACTCAACTCCCCTAAGTTATGGTGGGCACTGCTGCTTTTGTTGTTTACTACTTCCATCTAGTGGTAAAATGGAAACAGAACAGCACACAAAACCCCAAACATTTGGACAGGTCATGTTTATTAAGCTTGTTGTTCTGTTGTTTCCATTCTGACACCCTTTACATTGTAAACATTTTAGTATGAAGTATAAAGAAATACTAAAGAAGAAAATGTCTCGTGCTTTTTTAGGAGACAACTTCATGTCTCAATAGAAACATTTCTAATTACTCTTTTATATGTTTCAGTCCCATATTTAGATCCCAGATTACAGTCTGGTAAGAACTGGTATACTCAAAAGTTACTGATATAAAAAAAAAACCTAGTATAACTCAAAAGTTATGTCATATGTTACAATTCTAAACTCCAGAAGGATTAAACACTTTAATCAAGATCCAGTACAACATGACACTCTCAAAAGCTCCAAAAAATGAATATGCTACATTATTTATATGCTACACTATTTAATGCAAAATTCAAAATAACAGGTAACATCTGAAACTTGAGCTTGCTGTTTAACTAAAATTGTTGATGTCAGATCCTTTTAGTGTATACTAAATATATCATGCACTCACTGCTACTTTGTTTCACAACAAATTCAGGTTCTAAATTATGAGATGAGGGCAGAGGATCAGAAGAAAGGTCTGCACAGTACTGACTGTCATCAAGGATCAAAGTATACCCGAGCTTGAAAAGCCAAGAGGTTTTAGTTCCAGTATTATCTTGCAAGCATCCTTTCCATTTGTCTCTGTGACTTTCCATGTTAGATTCCAAATGTTATAAACTAATGAAAACCTAAAGCTTCACAAATCTTTCAGTTCGGTCTGCACACAAAATATGATTTGAAACAAACATTCTGGTTTTTTGTTCAGCAGTAACAGTATTATTTCTGTCTCCAATGTAATTACCTCCTCTGGAAAAAACCTGTGACAGTTACTTTCCAATAAACACGTAAAACAACAAGGTAAGTTTGGGAGGAGCACACAGTCCCCATTTTAGTGAACATGATGACACTGCAACTGCAGTTCTTTCAAGCAGAGCAGTATCAATGTAAGACACTGATAATAAGCCATTTCAGATTATTTGGCATCCTAGAATTCAGGAACCTTTTTAATATTTTTTACACCCATTGGCATACACCATAGCACACTGAGTAACAAGAGTATCTAAGTGGTGTCACTAAAATCATCCTCTTTAATTAACCTCCAACCAAGACTATTAAGCAAGATTCAACTGATCCCATCAATTATTTGGGACTACCTTTTTTGTGGAAGAGATTATGCTGAATTAAATAGCCATGGCAAATCCTATCAGATATTGCAGTATAATATTATTATTATTATTATTATTAGCTAAAACAATCTCATACCCTTCTTCTGTTTTCACCTTCTTCCTGCCTCTGTCGTTTTCTTTTCTCTATAAATAAAAAAACATTATTTGTCTGAGCTCCATAAAAGAAAATTCATTAGCAATATTTTTTTTTAAAGAAACAGTGAAAATCCAAAGTTAACTAGCAGGTTCTTATTGAAATAGACAACTCATACAACTAAACAAAAACAAAACAAAAAGCTGCTTGTCTATCATTATAGCGTTTCCAATCAAAATGAATTTGTGATGATGGTGTCTTGGGTCACAGCACAATATTTGGATACCAGCTGGCAAAGCAAAAAAAAAAAACCTCTAGAAGTAGCTGGGAAAAGTATAACATTATAAAAAACTTGAGCGGTGTTGACTTAAGATCTTGCTGAAGCTCTGTGAGGCCCAAAGTATGACCCCAATACTTTGTGGTCATATCTGCTATGAAGTTGAAAGTAGAACATCACAGTATCGAAGCAATCATAAACTTTTGTTTAGAGGAATGAGAAACATTCATCTTTCTCCAAAAAAAGAGAAATACTACTACTCTAAGTAAATCCAGGTTTCATTTTGCATAAACTACCAGAATAAAACTATTCCATAATATAACACTGTATCTTGAAATTTTAATTTCTAAGTATTTACTCAAGAACCACAATGGCTTTTAACAATTTTCAAGAAACCCTTTCAATAAAAATTAACTTAAAATAAAAAGCTTTCTAAACCAGCAGATAATTACAGCTCTACAACAACATGCTTTCTCTGATAAAACAGTTCACACAGCAAAAAAAACTTAAGGAAATGACTGAACTCATGCAGCTCTATCAACACACACAAAGAAAGATTAAAATGAGTTTGTTGATGATAAACACAATTTAGATGTTAACCATCCTTTATGAAACAAGTATCTGCTTAGAGCAGTAACATACTGTAAAATATTTAGAAATACCTAAAATTCAGATACTGGATGAATAAAACTGGTACTTCACTTTAGATATCAATGAAGTCCATAGCAACCACAGTCCTGTAGGTCTATTGCATTTTGTATTGTGGACTGCCTCAGTACAGTTTTCAAAATAATGTCAAAATAACGACAAGTTTTTTGTTTTTTTGCAAGGTTTCAGACAAATTTAATCCAAGAACATATAACGTGAAGAGGAAAAGGCCAAGGTAAACTTTAATGCCATTTTTGCCTAAGTCTTTAAGAGTAAGATCGGGTGTTGCCTGGGTACCAAGTCCCCTGTGGTGAAAGACAGAGATGGGGAGCAGAATAAAGCCCCCAGAATCCAAGGGAAATGGTCAGTGACCAGTGCTACTACTAAGCAGCTACACTGCTTACACACACACACGTCTATGGGGTCAGATGGGATCCATCCAAGGGCACTGAGGGAGCTGGTGGAAGTGGTCACCAAGCCACCTTCCTTTCAATTTTCACTTTGGTCACAACAACCCCCTGCAACACTACAGGACTGGGGCAGGGTGGTTGGAAAGAGAAGAGGTCCAGTGGAAAAGGATCTGAGGGTGTTGGTCGACAGCAGCTGAACATGGGCCAGAGTGTGCCCAAGTGGGCAAGAAGGCCAGTGGCATCCTGGCCTGTATCAGGAACTGAATGGCCAGCAGGACCAGGGAAGTGATTCCTCCCCTGTACTTGCCACTGGTGAGGCTGCACCTTGAGTGCTGTGTCCAGTTCTGGGCCCCTCAGTTTAGAAAAGATGTTGAGGTGGTGGAGCATGTCCAGAGAAGGGTAATGGAGCTGGGGAAAGGTCTGGAGCAAATGTCTAATGAGAAGACACTCAGAGAGCTGGGCATGTTTAGTCCAGAGAAAAGGAGGCTCAGGGATCGTGACCTTATAGCTCTCTACAATCACATGAAAGGAGAGTGTAGTGAGTTGGGGGTCAGTCACTCCTTCCAAGTAACAAACAACAAGACAAGAGGAAATGGCCTCAAGTTGTGCCAGGGGATGTTTAGTTTGGATACTAGGAAAAAATTCTTCACTGAACGGGTTGTCAAGCATTGGAACAGATTGCTGCAGGAAGTGGTGGAGTCACCATCCCCAGAGATATTTAAAAGACGTGCAGCACTTGGGGACATGGCTTAGTGGTGAACTTGGCAAGTGCTGGGTTCACAGTTGGACTCAATGATCTTCGAGGTCTTTTCCAACCTTGATGATTCAATGGTTCTATGATTTTGTAGGAAGACTATGATAGAGGACCTAATTTACCTCTTCTGATTAGCTCTTTTCCTTCATCAATCAAATCAGAAGTCATTTCACTATCCCCCATGAACTGCTGGAATCCCAAAAGATTCAAACAACGAGTTCCTAAGCTGATAAAACAAGAAGGAGAAGTAATTAATTTCCTTTGTTAATTTACAATGAACAGTTTAGATATATTACAATGCAAGATGTAAAACGAATTATTCAGAAAATTATGGACAATACAAGTAAAAAAGCAACACAGAAGAAAAGACAGATTCTTACACTAGCTGAGAAACCAGAAAATTCAGAACAGTGACACATTCCTAAATCCAACTGAAAATAATCCTATCCAAATAGAGAGATAAAAATGTATATAGTCAGAGAGTAGTGCAAATGATTTCACATAAGTCAATTGCTTAGGGGTTCTCAGATATAACAGAATTTATGATACATCATTGACTCTTCTTTGCCAGAAGACAATTACTATAAAAATTTTTCTTACTGTGATTTCTGTATTTTTGAAACAGTAATAACAAAGGAAAGTCTCCTTCACCTCAGGTTTCACTTAGGAGAAATGTGTGCCATACTCTTAAGCTGTAGGGATGCTGGCTGCCATTTTGGAGAGCCAGTAGGCAGCAGTCAGATAATAAGCTTGCTCCACCTTTTTTAAGCTAGTCCTGGAACTAGATAGCAGGAAACCACTTTCACCTTTTCAGCTTCACACCAGAGAACACAACTGCTGTTTTCATTATTATTTTCCTTTCTCCAAAGTATAATATCAATGTCATGCTCCAAATTGGCCTCATTGTATATTTATGCTCAAGTTTTTTTCTTATACTATCTGAACTTTAAGACTGCTGGATTAAACAGAGCTTACTTCAAGCTTTCCTTGACAGATTTTAATTAAGTCTTTATTTAATTAAACCTTGTGCATGTATCTGAATTAGCAGAGGTCACTAAAGCAACTTCCCCTCCTTTACTTTCTATTCTTCCTTTTCACCGTGGCATTCAAGATCCGGCATCATCATGGACAAGAAGTCACACAAACACTTTTCTCGTCATTGGCTTTCTGGTTTGATTTTTTGTTTTGTTTTGATGTTCACTTTTCCTTCACTTCTGTCACTTAAACAAAAAGTAAGCACGAAAAGCCCAGGTCCTTGTTATCTTACTGTCTATATGCATATCTGGATGCACACACAGTATTAATGGGAATTTGAGGCATTCACCTACATTGTATATGACTAAAAACATATACCTTGCTTCTGTCTGAAAGGTAATGCAAAATTGAAGAAATTAACATAAAAGTATCTGAGCAAGGTCAGACCGAAAGTATCCTGTCCCTTCTGTGGTCAAACCAGACATTTTGAAATATAAGGATAAAGCTAGCATGTAACAGTGTTTTCTACAATTACCCTTCCACCCTCCAACAAACTGCGGCTTAAGGAAACAAGATCAAATTGTTTAAACCAGTATGCTTTCAAATGAAAGTCTGGTAACACATCAGGAATTTTTTACGAGTCTGTTAGGAAGTTCAACACCTAAAATTTCTGCTAATGTTTCTTAGTTCATTAGAAAACCTTGCTGAAAACACAGCTTCCTCATGGTAATTTTAATCTCAAGCAGAATCTAGATGCCCCCAGGCTCCAAAGTTCTAAAAGATCACCCCTCAAAATCTAGGAATGAAGTTTAATGGGGAGAAAAACCCTCAAAACTCAGCTATGGTTTAACACAATCTATATTCTTAAAATGTACACACTTCACCTATATAAATAGCAATTTAATGATTTAGGTTTTGTATTTTTATTAATATGACACAAGTCAACTGCTGGAAAAGGAGTATTGAATGTCTTCCTGACTGATGAAACTAATCTTATTAAAGAAATGTGGAGAATCTATATTGCAAATAACTTACCTAAAGTATGTGGCAATACAGAGAATGACGACAAGCATTGGGTAGTATATATAGAATCCATCTGCAATGAAGGATAGCACTCTCATGGATCCCATTATCTAGGGAAAAAAATCCAAAAGAACAAGCTTTAATTAGCTATTATTCTATGTATGCCCATAAAGATTGTGCCACCTCACACAAACACACAATCCTTTACAGTTACTGAAACATAGGCATGTATTATCATCACAGATATGATTCAGACAGTTGATCCAGAGTCAGCAGATATAAAGGCCACCTCCAACAGTGTATCCATTCTGAGGTTCCTTGGGTGCTAGATTTTGTAAGTCTCACCTAGTTCAGAACAAGTGCAAATCTGATGGATTTTTTCATTTGCTGTGAAAGGAGTCTTAACACAACACTAAGAATCTAGTAAGTAGCAACAAGACGTAAGATGTGAGATGTTGCAACAGAAACCAGTTGTCCAATAAAAACAAACTCACTGGTTTTCAGTAGCAAGTTAGGTTTGCTCCCAATCTATAGAGAAGTCCTATATGCTAAATCCAATGGAAGCTAAAGCTACTAGGAAGTGAAGAACAGTCTGAACTCTAAAGTATAATATTTTACTTTCTTATGATAAAGAGACAAAACCTGAAAAAATTACCTATTTATGACTCCTGGAAATCATTACCAAACTCCTGGTCCACAACCAAGTATTTTTACGCCGTTTAATACTAGTAAAAAGATACTTGAGTATCTGAACCTTACTATAAGTATTTAAAAATACTTTGCCTATTCTCAAAACCATGTTGAAGGCTCTAAACCACATTTCCTGTACTTACAGATGTATAAGCAGTTGGTTGAGTGTTTTTGTGAGAGATTGTTGCATCCATATGGGTCAAGCCCAAAAAGTTCAAGCACAATGGTGGAGTAAGACGGCAAAATAACCTGCACAAATGCAAGAGGCAACAACATTTGAAAGAATTTCTTACATTAACTGCAAAATCATAACTGAATCTATCACTGAATAATGATATACTCATTAGGATTTATACCCATATAATTATAAATTAAAGAACATAAAGTTTCATGGACCTTTTCAATTGTGTATTTGATCGGAAATCTGCAAAATATATAAAAAAAAGTGGCACATACTCACATGCCACTGAAAAGGAGACTGTATGCATCTGTCTGATGATGTGAAGCTAAGTAATAATAGTTAAATACACGGATCCTGAAGACAGTAGAGTAAACACAGATACTTAGGAAAAAGATGGTAAGAAAACAGGCCATCTAGGGGAAAAAAAAAAGTTGTTGTTTGAATATAGAACTCTACTGAAGGTTTTAATGCGTTCAGCACGCAGTCTGTGCATGCAACAGGCTATCTCCAGTCTCAATTTTTAATTTTGAGATGAGACAATACCACCAGGTCTGAGAAGATTATCAGGAGTTTTTCTGACTAACTTAAATGGAGAATTGTAACATTCTCTCTATAAGCTAACACAGATGACCCTAGGAACATTTGTTCTGCTTCTTGTTATGTAAATAAAATTTCTGTAATTGCCTCAGTAGTTACTATGATTGATTTGACATTTCTTCTCACAAAAATGGGTCATCAGCAAATTCCTGTTTAGGAAAGAGAGATCACACACAGCTGATTAGACACAAAGTCTAATTAGCACCTAAGCTCCAAGCTAATGATTCAGAAATTACTCTACACATGATATTCAGCCTAGCTGGGTCATACCTTGACCTGGTATTGGAGAGCTTTAAGAAGTGGCAAAAGGCAGACTTCCTCCATAGAAACAAAGTTTGGTACAATATATGTAGAGACCTTCTGAAAGTTGACAGGTTAGTGCTAAATCTCTCTGACAGACTTTGTTACCATAACCATCCATCTGAAAATATTTTTGTCAAGTGATTGTCTCCAACTTACCTCTATGTATATATAATTATATGTCTTTTCTGCCAGCTGTATGAAAACTGCAAATAGCGATAGAACTGGTTTTGTACTGAAAAATGTGCACTCTGACCACACAACAATTACAGAGAATGTAGCCAGCACAACTGCAAGCACCCTGTAAAACCATGGTCGTAGAAGACATTCCCAGTACCACTCTGGAAAAAACAAACACACACACATATCCAGAATGGGTTAATTAAAATTACAAACCCAGAAATGGAACTTCCTCACAAGAGATGTTTTGAACTTCTTGCATGCCCACCCTTAAAATCAAGGCTGGAATCTATGGGGTCACACATTTAATTTCAGGGTTTTTCCAGTCCAGAGATCTGCTTCAGCGCTAAAGAATCCTATGCCCAGTTGAGGAAAACAGGGTGAGATTTGGGGAGGTAAATTTTGCAAACAGATTGAGGGGTGTGGGGTATGTAGAACAACTCTCCAGTTTTGGCCCAGATACTATCAGTGATTCACGTCTTGTTTGTTTATCTGTTACTCTCTCAGAAACAGAGCTTAGGCTATAAAATTTTATTGTCCTGCCCTGGAAATAACTCACTGCTAGTGCAACAAATTATATGTTAAAACATGATTAGGAGAAGATACTTTCTGAAAAGATGCACAAGCAGCCATATGTGCTAATATTTGGTCCATGACAGATGAAAAGTCTTTTCCTCTGCTTTACTGGAAGAGCAGTGCCACCTCAATAGATCAATAGATCCCACAAAATGTAGAAGGTAGCCACCATCCAATTGTTTAGAGTTGCTGTTTTCTTTCTTTTTCTAAGGCTTTACAGTTTGCTATTGCTTTATTACAACATGTAACCACTACTAAATGTGTAAATAAAATTTAAGCTTATGGTCAAGAGCATAAATTAGTAGCTATTCCATTACATACATGCATTAAGATTGTACACTTATTTCCCTCTACTGTAGCTGAACTTTTAACATAAAACAATTGGTTCTTCTTACAAAACAGTATCAGTTATGCCTTGACAGACTCAAAATCTGCAAGCCAGCACTTACCAACAGTTGGTGTGTAGAAATACTGAATAATTTTATTCTCTGGTTCCTGGGAATGAAAGGTATGAACAAACTGTCGTGTAGCACTTGTTTCATTTTTTGCCACATCTTCTAGGTAAAATGCTTGCTCTAAAAGAATTTGCCACTGGACCTGTGTACGACGGTGTCTCTGTACTGAATAGATCACCTACAATAAATTGCAGGAAATTAGGGTTACAACGTACTTATTTCAAGAAATGAGAAAAGAGCCTTGCAAAATCCCTCAAAAATGTGTACACTGCAGAATTACAAAAACTAACTTGGTATATTCACAAAAGTGGGCAGTTAATTCTCTAAATACATAAATCACAGAAGAACTACATACTGGAGTCCTGAGTTCTGCAGTACTTTTATCACAATCCATCTGTGGCAGAAACAGACTACTTTTTCCAACATATGACTTTATTTTTGCATTTTAGTATGTATCAAGTTTTTACTATAATTTCTTTTTCAGAATGCACTGTCAATCACTTGCAAAGTCATTACAAGGCTTACTCACAGACAGCTAAAACACTATCAAGATAAAACACAAAAAGCACACTTTTTAAATCATCCAGAACTTTGATCACTTGGGATATTAAACTTCTGTGTTTTCTATCACCAAGAAAAGTTTCTGTTAAGTAGCATTCCCAAAACCCACTATACTTAGCAATTCAGGTAAAGTGCATTGAAAATCTTTGTCTGGCTATCGTTTACTCTCATTACATCAGGGTAAGTGAGGTATTCTCTCATTTATTAATATACCTGCTTGTGAAGTTTGACCAGACTTTTCTCACTTGGATAACTGTTCTGTCTTTCATCAAAATCTTCATAATCATCCATGTTCCTACCCATTCTTTCCTGGTACTCAGTAGGACACTGGAAGGAAAAGGGAAAATGAACTGGAAGATGAGTAGCAAGTGCTCTTTGTTAATTATTAGTAAATGTTTGGGGCATTTTTTCATGCAACTGAAAAGCTCACTCTAAGCATACACTTTTCTCTTTCTAAAATACTATGTGCATCAAAATACAACTAATAATTACGTACATCATAAGAAAGGATTTCACAAAGAAACTCAGAAGATGTGATGCCTTAAGCCCCTAATGTTTTTGGTTTTTTTTATTTAAGACTTGTAAATTTTATAGGAAGGTTTTAAAAGCAGAAACCCCTCTGTCCCTTGTTCCTTTCCCTTGTTTACACATTCCCTAACCCTTTTACCCCATTCTATGCCTTCTATATCAACCTACCCCTGAATCCAGTAGCAGTGTTTAGTCTTTTGTCAAGGTAAAGGCCTAGACTGTTTGGAGAACAGCGTATCAGGGCCTAAACCACAGAGTACGGTCAAAAACTAGGTAACAATATACCCTTTTACTCTGATGAAGCTGAAGATGATGAAGTAGGTGGTCCCAAAAAGACCCCAGACTCAATTCTCAGGGGGAGGGTCCGGGGCGGTCCAGAGGAAGGGCCAAAGGGTGGACACATCTGGGATTGGATGGATAATGTTATAAAATGTAACCTCTCGGGCATGGCCTGGCGTGCGTCTATATCACCTATTGCCTTGGCAAATAAACCCTTTCTTATCTCACCCCTAATTAACTGCTCCGGAGATTTTTTCAGAACCAAAATACACCGGCAACAGATGCCAGATAGAGATTTTATATCAAGAGAGAAAGAAAATAATGTACAAGTACATGCAGGAAGCATGAGTTCCTAATTGAATAATTACAGCTGAAGATGAGCAATTTGTTACCTTTTTCAGTATTGTATCAACACATTTTCTCAAGGGGTGGTTATATTTGATACTCTCACTTACTTTACGAACTTCCTATTGAGGAAAAAAAATACAGAGTAGTGTAATTGTATTAAATTAAAAATTTAAATACAATAAATTTTTAAATGGTCAAATAAGAGTTGCAGCCCTCCCAATGGAAAAGACAGCCATCAAAGTTTAAAAAAAATACAGCTCTGTAAAAGCCATAGCTTTACTAGATCTAATAAAAGATAAGGAAGTATTTATGAACAACACATATGTCTGTTTTTTTTTAAAAAACCAAAATGCTAGTGTGCAAACGTTACAAATGTATGGAGGATTGTTTTCTAATGCCACAAGTGTCCAACACCAGGAAATTCAGAGCGTATTAACAGCACCCTTCACTTATTTCATAGTGAAAGCTAGTTACTTACCTCCATAATGTCCTCTAAATTCTCCTCTGCGTCTGCTTTCTCAGTCATCAGTTTGGCAGCTTTGAAATAAGTCTTCATGAGCAGATAACCCCTCTTAGCCCCATTCCAGTGAGAACGGGGGATTTCCACCAAACCATAACCCAAAAGCAACACAAGAAGAAAGAGACCCCATGTGTTTGCAGCAGCTATCCCAATAGTCTGAAGTTGGTTCCTAAGGAAAAAAAAAACAACAACAAAACAATTTAAACCAAACAACAACAACAAAAAAACCCCAACCCAACCCAACCCAAACCAACCAATACAGCTTTCAAGTTTACAGCCATAGACTTAGTATCACCTATAACTTTTGCCTAGAGCCCGTCTGCTGTTTAGTCATATTTAAAGTTCCCATAATTTTTCTGTATCTCACATGTTTCTGACTCCCCTCAGGAAGGAAATAAAAAATGCTTGTTCTCAAAGGAATATGTTAGTTTAGAAAACAACATGAACTTCATAAAATATTGAAAATGAGGTCAAAACCCCACAATGACACTCACTATGGGAAACAGCCTCAGGACCTGCAATTTGTATTCAGAATATTGTATTCAGAAATTTGTATTCCATCTAGTATAGAAGACCACTAGCAATGTTATAAATGCCAATTATTTTAACCTTCCTTACCAACTTTAAATAGTCCACAGCAGACAGAAGTGCTACACAGAAAATACTGACTTTTGAAATATGTTATTCTGAAAACACTGATTGTTTCTGCACTAACTGTGCGAATGTGTTTGTAAGGAGAAAAAAACCCCATTGCAAATGCAAGAGGATTCCTCTGCCGTACATATCAAAGTCGGAAAACCAGGAGACAAATTTCTATAAATAGTCAAAAAAGCACTTCTCATATAAAAATTTAACTTTCCAACTGCCTAGCAAAAAATCAAATCAACTAAAACTGTTTTTTAAAAAAAAGTTTAATTTCATCTACAGAAGAGGTTATCAATGACAATTATGTAAGAACTCATGCAAGAGCTTACAACATTATCTTACCACTGTAAATTGAAGTTTGGGTTTACAGCCACATATATTAAAAACGCCCCAAAAATCAGCAAGTAAGTGCCATAATATATTGCATTCTCGATCAACGCAGTTTTAATCTTTCCAGTAATGGAGAACCCCCCTGATCTTGCATATGACTGCATGAAAGGTAGCAGAATCCTGGGAGAAAAGCAAACAAAACCAAACCACATCAGCCAAACAGACAAAAAAAACCCCCCAAACCAAACAGAAAACCACCACCACCAATAACAAAACAAAAAACCCAACTAAAACAATAAACCAACCCCCCCCCCAAAAGTACTACAGCAGTGGGAGGATGCTAAGGCTCCCAATCTTCTAAGAAATTAGCTATTATATGTTTTCATTCTAGAGGTACCTGTCTGATGGCAAATCTTAACCAAGATGCAGATAAAAGCAATACAGTCACCTTTACTACAAAAAACCTGTGATAACTAAGAACTGACTACCAGCCCTGATATTCTTGACAGAACTACAAAAATAATTATTTAGTGACAAGTTGAACAGTAAGCACAAATTAATCTAACTCGAAAGCACAGACAATCTTTTTTCTGTAGCTGTACCTACAGCTTTATATAGTATATCCAATAAAACAAAATAATTTACAGTATTACTTACAAATTACCTAGCTTATTCGTGAAATTGTTTTGGTATCTGGTTGCCTTAAACCTTTTTTTTCAGACAACCTATCCATAAACACATCTATGTGTAAATTTCTCAGTTTCAACTACAAAAGTGAACCAAAAGTAAATGGTTACCACGTGAAATTTGCTTCTACAACACCAAGGAAAAAAAGAGTATGCTCAATTTAGTACTGTAATTATGGAAATTCCAGTGTTAGCAAATAATATATGATTTAGGAGCTCTTTGCAATAGTGATACACATTCGTAAAGAATATGCTATGACTGTTAAGATGTTGCATTTAGAAATTATAACTGTATCATGGTCTTATTCATATTCTTTTGCCTTACTTACCAAGTTAGAAACTGAGACGTCCAATACACAACACGCCAGAAAATTGGCATAATTCCATTAGGAATATAACTCCAAGGTTTGAAACATTTTTGTTTGCTGTAACAATGTAACAAAGCAAATTGTTAATTGTAGAGCCAAGAGTATAAAAACATTTTCTATGAATTCCCTATCTAGAAAGGTCTCTGAAAATAGCAGAAAAATAATGCAATACTATTTGAATAAGGAGTTAATGATTAACTACCTCAAAAAGAAATAAACTGAATCACCAGTTAAAAATAAATATTGTTTTCCTAACTTCAAATAACCTATCTGGATAAGAAAGCTTTCTTAGAGAAAACAACAGAAGCTCAAAGATTGCAGAGGAATATTCAATCAAGCAATTTATAAGGTTATAATTTTTCTTTTTGGGCAGAAATTACTTCAGGTAAATCAAAAACATTTCTGAAGACAGAAGACCATTCAATTTAGTTAGCTCTGCAGGTTTTTAAAAAATATCTAAGGACCTCATCACCTAGAGCATTCAGTGGTACAAAAAGTGTATTAGTTGTTTCTTCTGCTACCCAGCTGGGTTCAGTCAGTCTTACACAAATTTTGATTTGCTAAGCCAGGAGTTTTCTAACAGGTAGTATTTGCTTCAGAAGACCAGAAAAGCCACAGGAGCCTTTTTATTAACAAAAAAAAAAAAAAAGAAAAAAAGCTAAAGTATCCCTCTGCACTACGACACTTTTCACACACTTGTCTGGGTAATTAAGGAATGATGAGTCAAGGAGCAATAAAGTCAATTAAGACAGAACTCCCTAATGATAAATAATTGGTGTTTTCCAGAGTCAAACTAGTTAAGCCTGAGTTGTAAAATTTTATGGGCACAGCCTAAATATTTTCAAAACTATCAAATTATGATAGAATGACAGGTAGTATGACTAAAGGTTTCTCCACCTGTCCCCTGAAGACAGGCTAAGAGAGCTGGGGTTGTTCAGCCTGGAGAAGAGAAGGCTCCAGGGAGACCTTATAGCACCTTCCAGTAACTAAAGGGGGGGTTATAAAAAGGAGGGAGAGGGACCTTTTATATGGGCAGAGAGTGACAGGACAAGAGGCAATGGTTTTAAACTGAGAGAGGTCAGGTTTAAATTAGATACTAGGAAGAAATTCCTTACTGTAAGAGTGGTGAGACACTGTCACAGGCTGCCCACAGAACCTGTGGATGCCCCATACCTGGAAGTGTTCAAGGGTGCGCTGGATGGGGCTTTAAGCAACCTGGTCTAGTGGAAGGTGTCCACAGTGAGGAGGCTGGAACTGATCTTTAAGGTCCCTTCAAAAGCATTCTATGATTCTATGAAAAAGGTTTGTCTGAAGCTACAGGTAAATTGAAAGGTAACTGAATAGTTTTCAAGGTGGGTATTTGCTTAGCTATGTTTAATTAACATACACTGGGTGGTCGTAAGTAAATATTGTAATATTGTGCCAGTGAGTCTATCATTTCACTGTTCTTCCATGGATATACAACATCCAGACAGCCTCCGCTTTGGGGTAACAAACCTGGAAATACTTTGCATGGACATATCAACTGACATCTTAAAGGCTCTGATCATCTCAGATAACTACACTGCACACATCTACAGCGTGGGGAAATAGCCAGTGGAGGCTGAAGAATTAGTGGTCACGGAAAGAGCGAGCCCACATTCATCTACATTCACCATGTTTTGGGGATTACTTTTTTCCTACCAGGAGACAACAAAGCAGGTTATCATTACTTTGGTAGAATACAGTGAATTTCAGATAACTCCAATTACTATATATATATGTAATTATAATAAGCAACTAGATATGCTGCTTACGTATCAGACAGGTCTCTTAATTTCATTCATAAGGCATAAAATTACATTTTTCGGGTTTAAAGTCTAAGACTGTGAAGGATAGATAAGCATTCACCAACGTGTCTCCTCATAAGCAAGACTGCTCAAAATGCTTAGTTCTATTGCTTTAACAAAAAGAAAAAAAAAATCTAGTATGATAAAAAAACAATAGTTGGGTAATCAGTCAGAACTACTATATAATTACTCCCAACATATACAGATGCACTTTTCTGCACCTCTTTCCTCACCTTCCTGTATGCTTACAACCTTCAAATGTTGCATCATCCAGATAACACTTGTTTATTAGTCTTAAAAACCCAATACACTCCAATCAATTAAAAAAAGAAAATCATAAAATACTTATTTAAAAACAGTCTGAAGAAAAAAAAAGGTAGCTCATACCTTGGAGCAAGAGTAACGTAAGAGCCATTACTTTCTGCAGGACTGGAGTTAACAGCAAGTTTGCATCGATTATAAATAGTCTAAAAGACAATTCATTTTGCATTAATGACCAAAAAGGTACAGCATTTTTTTAAAAATAACAAGTCCCATTTTTAAAGACATTCCATGTGTTCCAGGTTTATATTTGGAAGCAATTATACTAATAAATACTCAAAACAACATGCAATCTGCATGTAAGTAAAAAGCTGAAAGTGCCTTTATGCTGCCTACACAGATAAAAAAAAAATTGTTATTAACAAATAACAAAATTTTAATATGTTTGAAATAGATTTTTTTATCTGATGAGATCAACAAACAGTAAAATTAATTGTAACCACAGACACTGTCACGCATAAAGATAACAAATGTTTAATTTAATAAGATACTACACAGAAAATTTCTTTGCTGTTTAAGAGATTGTCTTTTGGAAATAGTAATCTAAAAAAATACCATACACATTTCATGCAACTAGGCAGAAAGTCTTTCACGTTTCTTACCGTACTGACATCCAGAGGCAGTATAAACACAATAAGGAAGCAGAGATACCACGCCAACAATGTGGCTATGATCACAAGCCTATGCTGTTTCCTGAAGTCCCCATACCGATGAAGTAGGAATAAGGCCAGAAAAAAGACAAACACTATCTCAAGGCCCAGCGCTGCACCACTCATTGTTGAACGACTGCTCCAGCCACACAGCGCAGCTCACTGGAGAAAGGAGATCAGAACTGTAAGACAAAAAGACATGGAACTACACTAAAATCTCTGGAATAAAGTTAGGCAGAAAAGAGTTGCTCGGTGGATATTTTAAAACATATCAGCAGAATTTTTGTATTTCACATGACTGGAACTCTGGTCAGATGTAGGTCAAGATTTTCAGCAAGGTGCTCTGAAGTCCTCCACAGAAACCAAAATATCATGTCATTCCAATGTTGTCATTTCTAGCAATGTATCAGGAGAACTCCTGTTCATCATCTTGATATATAACAGATCCAGAAGTCAAATCTCTGTCCTTGAACAGACTACTAGCCTATCTTTAAGTCCAGTATAAATTTCAAGAGGAAAACTTATTCTGCTCTTTTTCTCCCCTTTAGAAGTAATCAACTAACTTGGACAAAGGGTTAAACGTTTAAATTAAATGTTTCTGAAAAGCTAATGAACAACTTTTTTAATGAACCATACCTCAACTACACATTTAAATTCTTTAGGTCAGAGTTAACAGAGCATAAAAATGCAGCAAATTATGTGTTAGCTTACTTGTGATGTACCTCTTTTAGGTTTGAAATGTCAAGACTTCAGTTCACCTTCCTAGACCTCTTTGTTCATCTTCAGAAAAACAAAGGTGTCAACTCATTTGGTATTAGTCCTGCCACGATACATTTTTGCTTTGCTCATCTTTCTATGTTTAGCTCCCCCGTTACAGTCTGGACTGCTAAGAGTGCCTAAAAACTTCATACATTTCCATACAGACATGCTATTATCAAAGGGACAGTGAGCTGCACAAATCTATTACAGAACATTTCACTGACTTGTTACCTCATTAGTCAAACTGCTTCAGACCTTTTTAATAAGCATCATTTTACCACAGGCATCTCAAACATTATTAAAAAAAAAAAAGTTTATTACTGTGGCCAGTCTTTCTTCTCCATCAAGATTACCATTTCAGCTGGTTTGATTTAAGGGAAATAGTTTTTGAAATGGCTTCCCCACGGTTAGACTTTCAGTACTTTCACTTTTCTGGATATTTAAAAGAAATGCCACTGCTAAAATTTCCCTTGATTTACTTTTAAATACCTTCATAATTTGGTAAAGTGAATCATTTCTTTTACTAATTTCTCAGTATACTGCTCAAGCAGATTCGTTAGGCATGAGGGCACTAAGCAGTGAAAACTGTCCTATTTGCACTAAAAAAATTCCAAACTTTGTGATGCCATTACTTCCTGGAGGACACACAGGACAATTACTCTGTGATTTTGTTTTCCCCCAATAATTTGTTTCTTCACATTTTCTACTTTCACATTTGAATTTTAAACAGTAAGAGCAGTCTGTTTCCTCCATATCAGCACAAAGAGGATCTCATATTCTGAAAATAACTCGAGTAATCCTTCTGTTTTTCGTCAAAGATGCACACACTTTTTATTTTCTGCCTTTCATCAAACATGTTTATCAAATTATTGACATTTCTGTCAGGCCAAAGCATCCCCTTACTACCTCTCTGTACTACATTTTGGCTAGATATTTTGTAAATCATGAGCCCAAGATATCTAATCTATTTCTCAATCACTTATTCTAAGAAAGCCCTTATCTATTCTATCGTACCATTCTTGTTTCCTCAGAAAACAGTCTTCTGTATTTATAGTATTGCAGCAAATTCTACAAAAATAAAAATACAAAGCAATTATGTATCGACTTCATTAAGGCAGTGCTATCTGACATGTAGCTTTGGGTGCCCATTATAGCCACACCTTTGCTACGTAAAGAAAAGAAATTATACGGCATACACTTTATTAGTCATGAAGTTTTACTACAGTGACACCTAAAAAACTGCTATCAAAACAGAGGGTGAAAAGTTTTTGTGCAAGATGCTGCACTTGGCTACTACCACGAGGGAACTTCCAGAAGTACTATAAAAATGCACTGGATAAGCTAAAACAAAGAGGGAATTGAGTCCTAGCACAACTTAATTTGCTTTCAAAGACAGAAGTGGATTTACAGTTATCAGTAATCTACATCTTTATGTTTGTCTTTGTGATTTTGATCTAAAAACACAAAATGAAAGGCCTATTTTTTTTACAAGAGTGCGATTAGTAACAGTTATTTTGAATTAATGTAAACACAAACAGTTTAAATTTTTAGATAGAAACAACTTAAAACTAGCTCTCCACACAAATAGATTAAATGGAAAAAAGTCCACAAAATGAGAAATGTAATGCTTGAGAGGAGTTCTTCCTGTGAACTAAATCCAGCCTAACAGAGCAGACACATTCAGGACCTGTGCTACTAGAATCAGACCTTAAAATACAGTATTGTAGGCTATAAAGCCATGTCTTCCTGTGGAAAGCAGCATTTGCCTCTGAACCTGGTTGTTAGCTAAAGAAAGGTAAGCTCCTTACCCATCATTCTGTTTCTTCACTTTATTTAGACAGCCTTCTCACTGTTAGCACACAGCTCCCTAGTAACCCTCTAGCTGAAATTCCTGAATCTCTAAAAAATGTTCTCCTGAGACAAATAACTACTTTCAGAAGAGTTCTCTTGTATTGCACAACCTTAAATGACTTAGAAGATGCTCCTATTAAAGTAATGACAAAGTAACACAATCCCTCACTATGAATGAAGGAGTATTTATTGGCACACTCCGTTTCCAAAGAACCAGGCAACTACATATTAATACAAATAAGACCAAAGGCTGAAACTCTCGTACTGGAAGTGCACCTTAACCAAAAAAAGACAAGGACATTCTCTTGTGTTGGTGGTTTTCTTGCTTCATTTCAGACACAGACCAAATCAGTAAACTTTTTAAGTTTACTTTTTAAACTACTTAAGTTTAAGCATTGGGAAGGGCTCAGTTCAGACTTAATTCTCGTGGAGACTCCCTACTACCAACAGTATTAAATTACTCTGCCAACTTCAAGACTAACCACACTCATGACCATCTACATTACAAATGAACTACTCTGCCTGGTACAGAAATACTCAAGTTACTGAATGAAACCGCAGAGAATGAAAAAACCCACACTTTCTTACAGCTTTTACATAGCACCAAATTTATCAAAGACATTCCAATATTATATTCTTAAAGAAGGGATAAAAAGAGAAGAGCATATCTGTGACAAAAGGACGTTGGTCCCACAAAAGTGGATTCCAATACCCCTTTAGTCAGAAATTCCAGACCAGATTGTACCTCAGTTGTTTGGGTTTTTTCAAACTTCGCAGGAAAACATTTTACCAGCAGACTGTTCCTTTTGTAGACTAATGTAATTGGTGCTTCAATCCTTCCCAGTCAGCCTACTATCACACTTTCTGCAAATTTCTCACTGCTGCCCTTGACACTCTACCCACTTCCTTCTACAAGGATCAGGAACTGCCTCCCCCCCCCCAGTCTCCCAGCTAATGCCTGAGAAGGCCTGAACTGAGGGCAAATATTGCTTCACATGTCTTACTGAGAAGCATAAATAGAACTAAAACTGTGAGTGATATTCCCTTCACAGATTCAGCTTATTATTCTTTTCCTCCAAGGATAATGATACTGTTCTCTATCATGTATTTCTGTAGCTGATTGCTCCTGCTTAAGCACAAACACAAAACTCCGCTCATTGCACCCATTCCCTTCTCACAAGTTTCTGAATCTTTAAGGCATTTTGATTTCCATTACCACACTCAAAAAGACTTGAAAATTTCTCCTAGTTTTGTGCCGCCTTAAGTTTTAATCATCACACTATTTCATCAGGAAAACTGCGAAAACCATGAAGAGTAGTTGACAAAGGACTGGCCTTCTTAGTCACAACAGTAGCTCTTCCCAGCTTTCCTTCCCAAGTAAAAATATCCTAAGGAACAGAATCAAAAGTCCTATTAAGCCAAATGTAAGACATCAACTGATCCTCTCACTGACAGCAGGTCTATCAGTCATCGCTGAAATAAATTAGATAATTTCAATAATTGACAAACTGATGCTGACTTTCACTCAGCTATTACATTCTAGATGCTTACAAATAGCTTTTGTGACAGATTTTTTTTCAGGAATTCAAAAAGCAGCAGAGGAGTCTGCCAATCTATAGCTTTCTCTGTCCTTCAAATATTAGTAATAAGGACAGCCACCATACTTCTGGTTTTCTTATCTTTGGTACCTCAGCCATTTCTAGACTACTACAGACTTTTTTTCTTGAAGTATTGTCAAATAGAGCTCAAATAGATCTGGAAAAGTTACATTTCTAGACATCCTGGATATTTCAGTTGAAACAGCAGGATGCCCAACACCTGTGTTTGGAAGCCTGCCCTACTCTGCAAAATGATGCTGTTAAGAACTGTAAAGAAAGACTTCACTTTACAGACATGATTAAAACTTTGGGACTGATAGAACTGCCCCACTCAAAGAGCCCCTGACACTTCCATCTTTAAACAACAAAGTGGGCTAATTTCAGGACTTCACATTTCAGGACTCAAAATAAAAATGATCTCTTCAGCCATTTTTATATCTAAGTTTACTTAGAGTGCTATGGGGATTTCTTTTTTGTTTGGTTTAAGGTTTGGGGGAGGTTGGGTTTGTAGTTTTTTGGAGGTTTTTTGTTTATTTCATTATTACACATTGGCCCTTGCAGCTTGGGGAAATAGGAAGTATTTATTTATAAGCAGACAACAGTCAAAGAGCTGCTTTATCTCAGCACAGTGAGAAAACTGTCTAAAGAAAGAAAATAGCCACAAACTGCCTAAGAAAACTGACCAAAGAACTTATCTGCTTGCATTATATCAGAGAAACAACCTCTGAGATTAATCAAGAATGCAATTTGCATGGCTTTGTTCTTCCAAGAAACTCTAGTCAGTCTGTGTACTGACCGGTATTTTATTAGTACCTGTCAGTTTAACTAGCTTGTAATGAAGCAAAAATTTAAACTGACTAAACAGTTAATTGACAATCAATAAATATCAATATTTAGGAAAAAAAGTTTTCTATCCTCTGACAAGAAAAAAAATAATAAAATGCTGTGCTGATACCACTCAAAATAGTGCTAATCTCTGGTATGGTGGGAGACCAGATTCTCCACAGAAGCACTAAATAAAAGACAAATTCTTGACCAAAGAACATTAAGATTTTTGTGTTCAAATGCAAGCAGGGACCATCAGCATAAAACCATAGGAAGCTTATTTACTTTACATAGCACTGCCCTGCCCTCTACTAAAGGATCACTAAGGTTGGAAAAGACCTCCAAGATCATCGAGTCCAACCTTTAATATATTAAGTACCACAGAGACTGATGCTTTTAAAGGGTTTAGGGAAGTACTCTGCAAATAACACATTGAAGAA